AAAACTGAAATGGAGACTCAGCAAATGTTACCAAGCCTGATTTTAATGAAATGCAAATAGGGTTTCATTTGTTAAACGAACCAGCAGTTCTTATCTCAAGTAGCAGGGCAATGAATACAAGCCAATAAAACTGTACTTGTGGTGAGAAGCTAAGTGATAAAAAGGGACTTGCCAAATATGTCCTCTGATCTAGGAAACTGAAAGACGCCACAGATCATACAAAAGTTAATATTAATATTTCATCAGAATCAATGGGCTGCTCCAGAGCCCATTGAAGTCAGTGGAAAGACTCCCACGGTCTCTAATGGCCTATGGACCAGGCCCCATTTGAAAAGAAATTTAAAATTCCGGGTCAGATCCTCAGCTGGTAGACAATGAAATCATTGGATTTATGCTGGTTTATACCTGACTTTCCATGTTCAACAAAAACAAAGGCTAATGGAGTTTAATGAAAATCAAGTGCTAATCAACCTTTTTTTTTTTTAATTGCTAATCATCAGGCTGTATGATAATGCAAGTACATTATTAAAAAGAGATAAAAAAAATAATTAGCATATATATAATGTGGTTTAATTCTTTTTGGTGCAATAAAACAAGTGGTGGTGTTAGTTATATGATCTTTAATTATGGTTTCAAGCCAAACTGGGACAGAGTAATTGAGTGGCCATCTGCATTTTGATTTATAGATTAGGCAGTTTAATTGGAACAACCACATTTCTAATAATTTCCAATTTGAGATAAATATGGAAGCGTTTTCCCTCAGAACTTTTATAATGATGTCTTGAACATAGTTCAATACACTCCAGTAATTTAATAAATCTGCTGCTCACTGATACCGTTTTATATTTGTGTGTCTGAAATATTATTTAATTTGGTAAAAGGCTTGGTCATGAAATTATCCAGCCTCAATGGCCATCACTAAATAAGTGAATCTTTCTCAACAGTTCTTCATGTCCAGGCAATAATTTGTTGATTAATTATTTCAAAGAGTGATGATTCTACAAAAGCACTGAACTTAAAAATGTGCTACATGATGCCAATATCCCACATCCTGACCATGCCTCCAATATGGAACTAACCCTTCAGGACCCCTATGGCCCAGCTGGGCCTCCAGTTCATAGAATCATAGATTATTAGGGTTGGAAGGGACCTCAGGAGATCATCTAGTCCAACCCCCTGCTCAAAGCAGGATCAATCCCCAACTAAATCCCCAAATGGCCCTCTCAAGGATTGAACTCACAACCCTGGGTTTAGCAGGCCAACGCTCAAACCACTGAGCTATCCCTCCCTCCAGTTGTGGAGGAAAAATGAAGTCTTGTGGGGAAACTTGGAAGCAGCCTTCAAACATCTGCAATGCAGTCACAAAGCCCCACCCCAGTCCAGAAGACTCTGCTCCCCTTCTGGAGTAGTGACGGTATGGAGGAGTGTCCTTAGGGGAGGCAATGCCAGGAGGAGAGGCAGGGTTCTTTTCGGATGAGTGACAACACCAAAACAGAGCTGGCCGTCAGTTATCTCAACTAGAAGAAAAGGTTCCCACCGTAGGGCCATTGTGGATTGGTGGTAAGACAAACCCCTATGTAACTGCCCGAAGTCCATGATGGTATTCATGTGCAGGTCTCAGAGTTAGCCAAAAGAGGTGTAAAACCACACCTTGGCAGAGAGCTCGCCATTGTGAAATTTCATGTGCATCATTGTTTCGGTAAAATTCTGGAATAAGGGTTTCAATAAGTACCCCTCAAAATTATTGTGGTTCCTTATTAAAAAGAGAGTAGTAAACAAATAACCAGTACTTAGTGCTAAAGCCTCCCACTTAGGGTCAGCTCATTAAACATTGTCTGCAACTTCATGCACAGGCATGTTAGATTTCTATATCTATCCTAACGTGATTTTTGTCCCTGATTCAGCAAAGCACCTCAGCACATGCTTTACTTTAAACCCAGGTGTCAGTTCCATTGAAATCAGTGCGATTTAAGCCCGCGTTAAGGCTGCTAAGCAAGTGCTAAAGTCCTCTACTGAATCGGGACTGTTAAAAGGCTCTCTCAGTGAAACAACACTTTCACAGTTAAATACTCAAATGCATGTTCCAGTCTATGTTTTGGAAATATAGATTTACCATTGTATGTGCCTGAGGTCAGATTCAAGTGCCTTCAAGTGAAAAGGAGATGAGAAACTTTACACTGCAAATAGTAAAGTGAACTAAGGGTTGATATCAGGGCCGGGACCTTTTTTTAAGGTTTTGATAGAAAAATCAGACAAGCTGATTTAGTTCCATATCAGAATAGCTTCTGGGATTTCTGATTCTCTCTTGAATATATCTGGCACAAAAGCCAGCTGCATTTTAAAACCCCAGATTTGGAAGGGACTCCCTCTCCAACTTTCACTATTTAAAACCATTTAATTATGACAAAACATTAATACCTGAAAGTGGCTGCTGTCCATGTGTAGATGACTACTGTTTTTTATAAAACTGTAATGGATCATGGTTTCAGAACTGCTGAAGTCAGTGGAGAAAAACATACTTGACCTTTCTATGTTAAAAAGAAGGTTTTCAAATTGAATCTGTGATCAGCTCTATCCCATTTCATTGGCAGCGATGGTGCCATCTAATCCCAGTAAAACTCAATAGGACCAAACTAACACATCCAGCTGTCCCAGATGTGCATTAGGACTAGACCCTCAGAATGCAACCATACAACCATAGGAGAAACTTAGGGACCAATTTTCAGAGTAGCAGCCGTGTTAGTCTATATCAGCATCTGATGAAGTGGGTTTTAGCCCACGAAAGCTTATGCTCAAATAAATTTGTTAGTCTCTAAGGTGCCACAAGTACTCCTGTTCTTTTTACAGTCCAATTGTGGGGTTTAGAGTGCCTCCAACTCCCAGGTAAGTCAATGGGGGTTGAATGCACTCACTACCTAACAGGAAGTGCTCAGTATCTTTCAGGATTGGGCCCATTAACCCTAATTTTTAACATTCATCAGTACTTGTTTTTCCTGCCTCATCTATGTGACCCTGCTGGCACTACAGTCAGTGGTAAATCCGATTGGCTTCAATGGGATGAGCATCACATTCCATGGGACTGCTGAGAGTGAGACGAAGTGATAGTTTCCTTAATTTTTTATTTGTTGGTTTAATGCAGTTTCTCTTTAAGAAAATAACCCTTTACTGCATTCAGTGTAGTGGAAAGGTGCCAAATTGATACCCCTGAAGACTAAAGTCCCCCGTTTATTCAGAGATCACGTACAACATGGGCAGTGGCAATCAAAGCTCCCCCCTGACCTGGAATGAGTCATCCCTAAGGGCCTTTCAAAACTTCCTTAGGAGGCTTCCAACAAGGAGGCTACCTTGTGTGGATGTTCCATTTGTACTGCTGTGGCACCAACATAGTCAAGATGTTGTAGTACAAACACACTGGAAGACACAGACTCTGCTCCCAAAAGCTTACGTTGTGCTGTTTTTCCTGAGGTGGACACCTGTGCACTAAGGATTGGACCGAGCCCGTCAATCTCATTCCCCATAGGCTACCCAAAAGGCAACAGATGGTCATAATAAAGCACTCAATCATTCTCCCTCTGAATTTCATGGCCAAAGTCCCATTGACTTAGGAACATAGGACGAGAAGGCACCTCCTGGGTCATTGAATCCAGTCTCTGCTCCTGCAGGTAATCCCACCATATAAACCCTTCAATGGGAGCAGGCTCAAACTCGAAATTTGGTGGGTTTATATATATTTAGCACTTAATTTATTACAGGCCTGATAACTTCATTTTATATAAGCAACACTATGTTTCAATCTGTGTATTATACTGTAATAATTACAGTTCTTGGGTTTCAGCTTTATGCTACCAGTACAATGCATGCACTGTTGTGTTATTTATAAATGTAGAATTTTCATTTATTATTAATTTAAATGGGTGAATTTCTTGAAAAAAAGAATATGCATATGGCTCGGATAACTAGCCGTGCATCTCTAAAACGTATAGTCTGCAAAAATCTAGCTGAAAAGCTCATGAAAACAGACTGTCTTGTGAAATTTCTGGCACCTCCACTTCTGATCCTGGATAGAAATAATCCGAGAACAGCTGTTCTCATGGGATACTAGCCCTTCCATTTGCAAAGGCAGGCAGAAACTGAAGCCGAAAAAACACTTATCCAATCATTTCAGAGCCTCAGAAAAGGTTTAGCTTGCATTCAGTTTGAGCTTAAGTTTGAGGACAGTACTTTATCGGAACCAGTTCACCTATCCCAAATTATTACACGGGATTTTGGTTTTCCAAATTAATCAAAAGCCTATCATCAACAGACAATATCTCTGTGGTGTGGGATTCATTAATGTCATATTCTTGTTAATTTGGTAGTTTGTCCTTTACCAGAGAGTCAGTCACATAATGTCTTATTGCTAGTACAAGATGAGTATTGATTGTGTGCCATGATCTATTTAATTAGTTTATTCATGTGTCTATGTAAAAGAGGCCCTGAATACCAAAACCAAGAGATAACAAAAAGAGCTGAAAACATTTTTAATTATGGTATTCTTCTAATCTAACTCATGAGTTTGCATTAACTTCAGTGTAGCTTAACTGATTTATACCAGATCCTCAGCTGCGACTAGTGGAGATATACCAGTTTAGAGCAGCTGGGGATCTGACCTGCATCGTGGGATAGAGATGGGGAGCAATAACTTGGGGTCTTTCATTTATTCTTCAACATACAACATTTGGATCAAATTAAATAATGTAACAGTGTTCCATAAACTCTCAGTAGTTTATTTTTTATTTTGTGTAATTTTGGATCAAAGATATACTCCAGATTCTACACTGATTTAGACCCAGTAGTTCCCCCAAGAAAGCTGTTCAAAACTGAATGGGAAGTCAGAATTTATTCCAGTGCACTTAATACACACACACAGAGTAGGCCAAATAATACTTGATAGAGGAAGAAACACAGTAAGTTTCTGGTCCACCTTTTCTAATCAATATCTTTCATGTCTTTAAATGCAGAATCCCCTTCACCTACAACTGAGTTTAGAAAATTCATTAAGCTCTGATGCGGATGTCACTTTCTCAATCCTGAAAATGAACAACTGGTACAATTTCAGCTTGATGTTATGCCAAGAGTGGAATATCACAGATTTTCTCTTCCTCACGCAACAGAGTTCCAAGTTCCACCTGGGCTCCATTATAAATATTACCACAAATCTAACTTCAACTAGTGACCTTCTGAACTACTTACAAGTTCACCTAGAGAGCATTAAAGACACAGTATCAACCATGGTTATGTTTGGCTGTGACATGGAGAAGACAAGGAGGATTTTTGAAATAACCACCCAGTTTGGCGTGGTGCCCCCTGAACTTCACTGGATTCTTGGGGATTCACAAAACGTGGAAGAACTGAGAACAGAGGGTTTACCGTTGGGTCTCATAGCTCATGGCAAAACGACACAGTCTGTTTTTGAGCATTACGTCCAGGACGCAATGGAGTTTGTAGCAAGAGCTGTGGCAACAGCTACATTGATCCAACCAGAGCTAGCACTTATTCCAAGTACGACAAATTGCATGGACATAGAGGAAACAAATCTCACTTCAGGGCAATATTTATCAAAGTAAGTTTTTCCTTTTTATTTTTTCTCCTAAAGACTGTTTTGTGAGTATAAAATGAAATCTCCATTTTTCTCCCATCTTTGAACCATTTAGTTAACTCAACACTATTCACTGCTTCATCTTACTTTTATATTCGGCAGTTGGTATTTCATTGTGCTTAATTACTTGCTAGATTGCGATACCCTTACTCAGGACGAGTAGCCGCGTGCCTCATAAGTAGTCCCATTGAAGTGGTTGGGACCACAGTGTGAGTAAAGATATCAGAGTCTTATACACAAGCCAGTTTTCAGGCCAAGTTGTAACAGGAATGCAAATTTACAATCATGTATGATGGAAAAAAAGTCATGGCCAACCTCATATTTTCAGGGAATCCAGGATGCCAGAAGGGGCAAAAAAAATCAGGCCAAGAACATTCCCAAAGCCAGAATGGGTCTGAGGGTGGAAAACAGGTCTTTCCCTTCAGTTCCACTGCTGGGGGTGAGTGTGTGAGTGGGGGGAGGGGGTTAGACAGACAGAGAAATGCATCTTGAGTGCCACTCCTTTCTCTGGTGCAGGTTAGAGGGGGATTTGGCTGAGAGTTGATGAAACTGTGTAGAATTTCCAAAAATGCAGAGCCCTCACCCTCCTGCCAAGCAGTCTGTCATCTTGCTGGTGCTTAAGGCTAGCCTTGTAAAATGCTGCACACTGCGCAATCACTGCAAAAATTCTACCCTGGAAATTCATTTCTAGTTGTTTGGTGAGTGAAGGAAGTGGAAGGAAAAGCGGGGTCACCAAAAGAGGATGTGGTCTGTATCTGCCTGGGTAATATTTGTTGTAGATTTCTCTGCCCATAGTACCCCATTATTGTGAAACAGAATCACATACATGCATGGGCGGGCTTTCCCCCCCCCCCTTCTTTCTTGTGGTTGTTAATAGTTTTTTTGAACTGCACTTCACCTGCCTTCCACACGGCAGACTTTTTTTCAGGATTCAGGTGCAAATCCATTGTGGTTTTGGTGTGCATGTTCACAGTTCCTTCTGGAGGGTATCTATCCTCTCTCTTCACAATAATGATAAGATGAATCTCTCA